AATCCATTGCTTTTATACAGTCTATGGTTGAAACCTCATGGTGAGTTCAGACTATACTGAGGTTGTGTGTAAGCAGCAACATGTCCATCAGGGCTGCCCAGTCATAGACTTCTAATATACAGCACACATGTTAATCAACATTTTTTTTCTTTCTTATTTATCCTCATGGTGCTGTTGTAGTCAGCACAGGGAAAGGATTTATTAAAAGATACAGACGCATACACATACTACATAGTCCTGACTCAATTCCTCACCAGCCTGAAGGGTTTGTTGATTGCCTGTATTCCTCCTCAATGGTGACATCCATCTGGGTGTATTCTCCTGTCTGAAAGATGGTTTTGATATAGCACAGTATGAAGAATGTTCCCAGTGATTCAGTATACTGTAGTATGAGAGTTAATAGCACATTGTACTGGTAGCAGCCACTTTATACATAGACTCACAAGTCAGTCTTTAGACGCTTTGCTTAACTAAAGACTGATGACTTTCTCCCTGATTTTGTGTTTAGATGGGCGGATACAATTTCAATTTCAAGGCAATCGCCTTGTAAACAACAAGGCAATTGCCTCTATAGTCCGGGTAGAAAACCAGCAGAGCTTTTAGCTATATATATGTATATGTATCACATTTTTCACATCACTGTATCACCGTTTAGACTAATCCGATGTTTGTAAAGTCTATAAACACAATGATTGAACAAACATTACTATTTCTGTGTGCACGTTTAGGTGGGCTAAGCGTTGGCTGTTAGCCCTGTTAGTCGTTAGCGGTGTCTGTAATAGGTAATAACTCATTAAACGGTCCGTGAAAAAATATCTTTTCCAGTGGATATCTTAGTTACAACATGATTGAGCTAGCAAAGCAGTTTTGTGTTGCTATGTGTGGTATTTATTCAGTTTTGGGAAATCGCAATGTCTAGAAAGCGTCAGCTGACAGGGACAGCTAACACTAGCAGCGAAGCTAACATCAGGACGTCATCTGTTAAAAGCCTCCCGTTGTCGGATACGACATGAAACTACTCCAGTTAGCTCAATCATGTTGTAACTAAGACATCCGCTGGAAAAAATATTTTCTTCACGGATGAGCACACGTTTGATAAAATGGAGTAAAATCTCTCGGCATCTATTTTCAAGCTCTCTGTGTGTTTGTTTCCTTGCGGACGAAAAAAGGAAGAGCGCACATTTCCGAGAAGGCGTGTCCTTTTCAAAAATGCAAGAGGCGTTGCTTTGTTGCTGGCCGTTTTCGCCGGTGTGTTAAACACACTTTAGAAAGGAGTGTCCCCAGACTATCAGAAGGCGGAGATCTCTGATTGTCTGGTGGCGAGACTACTTTATACATTGGTTTAATAGATCAGTGATGCGTGACTGTAGGTGCATGAATATTTCATGTCCTTTGCTTGACAGAAGGAAGGTGTTTTTATACAGCACCACATTGGATATTTAGTTTTAACTTCACACATATAATTCCTCTGGGTCAGCTCTTCCCATGAGGATTCAGACTTTCTGTGATGTTGACTGTCCATCCACCCATACATTGTCCCTCTCCCCAGCAACGCTTTCCAGCTCCTCCTGAGGGACCCCAAGGTGTTCCAAGGCCAGATGGGATGTATAGTCCCTCCAGCATGTTCTTGGTCTGCCTTGGGGCCTCACCTAAGTGGCAAACAGCAGTTACTGACACTTGAATGGAGAAGAATTCAGACAGGAGATCTGCACACTGCTCCCAGTGATTTTAATTGTGCAACATTTCAATTTAACAAAACTCTTCACCAGGTATTGTTGAAAAAAGGTGAAGAATTTAACCATAAAAGTATTTATGTGTTCTGTTTATTAACATGAGCATTGGGGCCGGGTATTGGTGTTGTAGGAAATAATCTGGTACCACATAGTATCAGAATGTCTCCAGTCAACAGTACCTGCTTTCATTTCTTTTGAGTGACAGATCCTAGACTGTCCCCACTCCTACAACACGCTTTGTGTTGCTGCCATTTCCAAGGCTGCTCTCTTCCTAGTGAACAGTCAGTACAATGTCTGCCCTGTTAGCATGAGCTAACACAGCAGCAGCAGCAGCAGCGGACATCCAACACCAAGCCATTAAACAGTCTTAAACACACTACAACAGCTTGGTCTGTTGTTAAACCCGGTAGCAGTGTGGTGTTAACAGTTAGCCTTGTCATTGTGTGACTCCTATCTACTGTCCCGAGTGTGGAGCTCACACTCGCGCCGCAGCAGCTACAACCCATGCAGTCTGTGGTGTGTTGAGGTCAAGTGTGGTGTATTGACAGAGCTGGTAATTGAGCTTACGGAGATGCCAACAACATGTTCAAAAGTATGGCTATACTACAAGTCTCTCTTTTCAAATTATGGGTATTAATTGAAGTACTCTATTAGTATTAGTATCACTTTAAGGGTACTGGTATCGAAATATTTTAAACAATCCCCAGCCGTAATGAGCGTAGAGTGGGACTGACACTGACAGCATGACAGGAACATAAATTATTGTGCACCTTACTATTTTTGCAACATTTTAAGAGCTGATTTCTAAGTCCGTAGTAAACCGGAAATATCTGACATTTCGGCACCTTTAAAATCAATGCCAGACCAGTCTTCAGGTAAACTATGTCAAGGGCCTTTCATCTCATTTCTCAGTGTTCAGTTCATTTTATTGAGCTTCATAAATCCAAGTTAATATAATCTCTTACAGAGATGTTACCTCCGTCTGTCTCCCTCTGACTCTCTGTCCCTCTCAAACACACACACACACACACACACACGACCTTTTCAAAAAGTCTGTTGTAGTTGATCTTGATTTGATTCAGACACTGTCCAGGGACAGAGGGAACCATAAAATATCCAAAAGAACCCGAACAAAAGTCTGCCCACCTTCAGATTTTTGGGACATTTAGATGTCAGAACTCAGCAGAGTCATTTTCCCAGCTGTATTAAATATTCTATAAAAGTAAGTTGTGCAGCCAGAAATCAACATGAAAATTGTTCAGAGACTCCACAATAGGGTTTTTTCTGGTAACTTAATCGGTCCTCCATGGATATTGCCAGTGTGAAACCCCAAATCCCCAAATACCTTCTGCGGGTGGAATGATTCTCAAAGGTCATGTTTTAAAAGCTGTTGAAGTCCAAGATACTGCAGTCACGGTTTGGCATATATTTGGACACTTTTGGCAGCCCACGTTAGGAGAAAAAGCATCTGTGCCTGCTGCTTGCATTCAGTCCTGGAAAAGATTCAATTCATCTTCCCGCTGGCATAATCACAGTAATTTCTCATGAATAGTTAACCACATGAACTTTATAAAAAATATTATTTCCATATTTATTATATTTTAATTGATTGCCTGCACTCTGCATTTACTTTCTCTGAAACCTATTTGATATAAAGGCATATATGTTACGTTCTATATGTATATGTGTTTACAGAGACCAGAAGGAAATAGACACAAAACATAACGCTAATGCTGAGCAGGTTACAGGTTAGACATTTCTCGTTGTTTTCTGTTATTTTATAATCTGTCTCCAATAAGAGATGCCAATCTCAGTTTGGATACCTGATAAAAATAAATGACACATGAAATGAAAAGAGGGATTTCATAACCTCAGGGCCGTATATGTGACTCTCCAGGGAAAATGCTCAAAGAACCACAAAAGATCATCACATTTTAAAAACACACAGCAGACCTCAAGATGTCAAATAATTCTGCATAAAAGCATGCAGAATAAAAAGGAGAATAGCACGCAGGCATACATGTAAAGTGATTATTTGGACTGAATATATAGGGTACAGTACTTCACATCACTCCGCCTTCGGGCTCGTTGTAAAGCCTGATGTCAACAGCAAATGTATTGCCTGGGAAAGATACAGTAATGCATAGAGAGGGAGAGAGATAACAAATTTGAATTAAATCAAATGCTGTAAGTGATGCAGAAAAGGCCTGAAAGGGAGATGGAAAAAGCAGGAAATCCATTGGAGAGAGAGGAAGATAAAGGGAATATGGGATTACGTGGGTATGTCATGTGATTGAGTCTGAACTGGAGGAAGTGGGAGCGAGGAGAGCATTGTCTGTCGGTCTGAGTCCACTTAACAGGGATCCCCTGCTGCAAGGATGAATGAGGCTAATTTCTGACATGCTACAATAAAGGCAGTGAGGGAGAGCTCACTGGCTGCAAATCAATCATTACTCTGTGCATTTCAGTGTATGACTAGCACAACAGAAAAGCCAAAGATAAATCTATGCTATTTTCTTTCCTGGTTAACACACAAATAAATAGATTTTTTGTTTGTTTGTTTTTTGCAATGGCCAGGGTTAGAGTGACAGGCATTTTTTAAAAGGCTCGCAGAAAGCTGAGGTGGTTAGTTTTTTACTGTAGCACAACAAGATTTCAGAGGACAAGGCCACAAAAGCTGTTTATAACACAAGACGGGGATAAAGAGGTTTTATATGTGAAGACGGACAAGCCACTTTTCATTGTAACGTGCTCCAGGCAGAATTAAATCCTAATGGGAAAGCCTGACAAGCATTTACACATTCTGTTCAGATTGATCAAGACGTTTCTCAAGATAATTTATCGCAATGGCACATTACATTTTTTAACTTCTGTCCAAACAGTTGTGCCTGCAGGCATTTCGAGAGTGATTGTGTATTAAGACGTTCCCAGAGAGTTGGAGAAAGTTGCATACACAGGCCACCTTTACCTCAATATATAAATGTTATCGTTCTCAGAGATGTTGCAAAGATTTGTGCTTTTGATGTCTTTTTAGAAGAGCAAAGATTGAATTCTCTGCAGTGTCTCCCACTTTATGCTGCCATGTGAAGATCAGATCTGTGCCAAAGCATCAGATCAGTTCTGTTAATCCGAACATAATCTTCCAGGATGTGCTTTGCTGTTTTAACAGCTTTTCTTCCTGCAGCTAAGAGTTGCTTGTATGCGTCAATGTGATGCCTTTTTTGACTGTGACTGTACATTAGTTTATGCACCTTTCTTTCATTTCAGGTGGAGAAGTGCCCTACACCACTCTAGCTACGAGGATGATGATGGGTGTTTGGTGGATGTTTGCTCTTATTGTCATCTCTTCGTATACCGCCAACCTAGCAGCCTTCCTCACCATCTCACGCATAGAGAACTCCATACAGTAAGTATCCAACCCATTGGTCTTGCTCGGTCAGTGGTGGCAGTTGGTTCTGTGGCTTTAATTTCTGAAAAACTCAGTTCTTTTGACAGGGGATGTCCCAATCCGATCTCAAGGATCGACATCGGGGTTGACCCAAGGCATTTTTAAGTGATCAGGTTTGGCTGTATTGAATTATAAGCCCGATCTGATCCTGTGTTTTACATCAGCTGTCACACAGGTGTTTATACTTGCAAAACCTTCATGCACAGCAACGCAGAGTGCAGCCTTCATCAATTCTCCAACCCTCCGCTGTCTGTCTCTCTGCTCTGTTTGAGTGTAAGAGCAGTGTTACGCCCCAGTCTAGGGGTGTTAAAGGTTAACATAAAAAGTGAAACAGCGTGCATGTATGAGTGAACAACATGAGCAATTTATTGCCAATACAATTGATCCAAGTGTTGATTACAGAGGAAAAATGGTTTTCTGTGACACGCAGGTGAAACAAGAAATTCATGCACAGTATTAAGCAAGGACCTCAGGATGACCGACCAGTTTGGCAATACATGACGCGTTTCCTGCCGTAAAGCAGATTTTTTTCTGCGAAATTTCGATGGCAGAAGCTTATTACAAAGATTGCAAAGCCACTAAGTAACCTATGTAGACGCTGATAGTCTGATTTTACTGTGGCCATTACCCTGTGCAACCCACATTATTTTCATAATGATATGTTTAGGAAAAAATGCTGTCTGTGGCCTTTTTAACATGCTCACTGAAATGAAAACGCGAGTAAACAGCGACCGTTTGCGAGCACTACGCGAACGCATTGCTTGGGGTATAAATGAGGCCTTAAAGAGACATAGAAATGGCGACAGGGATTACTAAGAGGGTTTGTGATTTTATACATTATCATTAAATGGAGGAAAAAAAAGCATCAGAGGAACAGCTTAGATGCATCTTTTTCGTAATGCTTAGCTATTGTCCAGCTTAGGTATACATTGGATTGATTTTAATAATGTACTTGAAGTGTACACTGTAAAAGTGTATAATCTAGGAGAATAAAAATAGAAGAATCAAATTCAGACTGCATCAGCAGATACTCAATATTAAATGACTCGAATTGGGATCAGGAGCAAAAAACACTTGGTCTGGACATCTCTACCTCTGACAAAAAAAAAAGACCTGAATTTCTATAACTATTCCACATCAACAGTTTTCATTATATTTAGTTATACTTTAAAGGTGCACATCACGTCTAAACAGATGCTCAAGCACAATGCAATTATGCACACACACACACACACACACACACACACACACACACACTTATGCTTACTCACACCTAGTTTGTGTGTAGCTGTGCGTGCATGACAAATTGTTTCTAACACACAGAGACACACTGCAGTCTTCCCCAGTGTGCTTGATTGTTGCTCAGTGTGGAAATCCATTCTACCAGGCAGGTGTAATGTATGAGAGGCAACACACACACACACACACACACACACACCATTACTTCCCTATCCTTTCCATCCTTTCTCCCCTCCTCCTTCTTCACACCATCGTAGGATAGTAATTTCCTGTCTGCCCCAAGTTTGGATCTATCACGGTGTGTGTGTGTGTGTGTGTGTGTGTGTGTGTGTGTGCTTCCAGTGATGAAGATAGGGAAGATACAGAAAGACAGAGAGAACCAGGCCAAGTGTGAAAGAAAGTAAGAAGAGAGTGTTTTTGCTTGTTCCTCTCAGGTTGGGGGACAGAGGATGTATCAGGGCAACTGGCAAAACCTTCTGCTCTTATTTTGCCCCACAACACACACACACACACACACACACACACACACACACACACACAAACACTGACACACACATTATTTCCCTAAGCTCTGTGCCCTCTGTTTATCTATCCTTGTGATAATATGTTTGCCTGCTTCTCTCCTGGTGGCACAAGGAAACACTCATCTCTCATTGGACTAATCAGCATGCCGAAGCATCCGCTATGCCCGGCAGTGCCACAGTTAATTGTGCTTGGCTTTGGAATAAACAACATTTATTTCTCTAAATCTCATCACTGTCTGTCTCTTAATTTGTTTCTGTCAGTTTGTCTCTCCGTCTTTCTCTTTCTCCCTCTCTCTTCCGTCTCTGGCAGACCACCCTCTTTATCCTCCACTTCTGTCTCCACTCTCTTTTCCTCTCGTCTACATGCTGTCCTTTTCCCCCGCCATCCTTCTTTCTAGCCCTCTGGAAAACATGTAGAAAGAAGCTGTTCCTATTTTCTTTTGTCTGTCTTTTAGTTTGTTTCTTTCTTTAAAGTTTGCTGTCATTACCGAGTGCCTCTCAGTTTACCGCTTCATTCAGCAACCATTGAGCTAATTAAGGATTTCCATAAATTTTAATGCATTATCTTTAATGTGTTGACTCTTCTGGGGTCATTAGTGGCATAATTGCCACCTAAACAGCAGCACCCACATGGCCTGGGTCTCCAAAGATGGGTGGCGGGGTGAGTGCCAAGAGGGAGCATACTCAGAACAAACTAAGAAGAGTCGTAAAGCATAACAAAAACCTTAATGGAGAGATGAAGAGAGTAGCCGAGCGTAGAGAAAAAAGAGGATTGTGATGTTGTGATTAGCGTGCACTTTTATCTGATGAATACTTGATTAACATATTACGCAGATGGAGCGAGAGCAAATGGTTTTGTGAGTGACTGATTGAGAGAGTGAATTTGTTAAGTATGGAGAAGAGCAGGAAAGCGAACGCATGGACAGTAAGGGAGGAGAGGGCCGGGGAAGGATGGAGGCGTAGCTCGTCTTGGTGTCTCAGTGAGCCGTCAGGACAGACAGGGTTTTTAAGTATTAATGCCCTTGTTTCATCCTGGAAATGAAATAACAAGTGAGCATTCAGAACCCTCTCTGGACTATTTCACGCTTGGATGTTTTCCCTCAATTTCAGTGTGAATCCTTAAGGAAAACAGTGAGGGATGGTGGTGGAGAGCGACAAAGAGAGGGAGCATGAGAGCAACATACAAAGAGAGAGACAAAACGGTGTAAGTGTTATAAAGAGAGGAACTACATGGAAGAAAAGATGAAACGGATTGAGTTGAAAAGGGGAGGAGAGAGGCAGAGAATAGGAGGGGGAAAAGGTAGAAAAAGGAGAGTGGAATGAAGCAGGGAAGGGGAGAGAGGGGAAGGGGTTGGGCAGTGGTGAAGAGTTTAAATGAGAAATGGATTTTGGAGGAGTAAAATGAGAGAAAAGAGGTGGCACCTGTTGAGAGAGGAAAGAAGAGCGGAAGAATTGGTCAGGATGGGAAGACTGAAAGAGGGATGGAGGGTTTGCAGATAAAAAGCTTCCTTTCCTGGCTCAATCTCACACGGCTGCATCGTATATCATGGTAGCTACTGATTGCCAATAAAGTCAATCAGGTGTTACAGTTGTCTATCTGAGCATCGTAGTGGCTGGTGTCTGCTAAGACAGCAGAGTGCTCTCATTGGTCAGCAGCTCATTTGTACCCTTTTTCCATTGTCATTCTTGGCTGCGCCGAGTAAGGCCATGCTGCGCCGAGTAAGGCCATGCTGCGCTGATTTGTGTTTACATTGTCAGTTTAGTCGCGCCGTGCCACGCCAAACCGCGCCGGAGATGGACCTTCTCTGGAGGTGGTCCAAAAGCCGGGCCACCCACCCTCAAGCGGGTAGCGGTGATGTCTCGCTGACTGCAGCCAACCCCCATTCTCCCCCCCAAACTTGTCTGTTTTTTAATCTCATGTTAACAGATTCTGTGTACAAGTCAGTTATTAGTTGTTATTATTGTTAGGAGGGAGCTGCTGAGGTATTACAGTGTGCACCTGTTATTGTTCATTGAGTAGACCTACACTACAGTTAGAAAGTGCTACTCATTGATAAAGTCAGTGTGAATGTTGCAAGACTCTACTCACTTTGTGGCTTCTAACTGAATCTCTTTGAAGTTTAGTTTCTCTCCTGCGTCCTGTTTTTAACTTTCGATAGCTGCTTTATTTTACTGTTTCATGTTTACTATCAGCCATATTAGAAGTTGCTGCTCGAAAACTCAACATTTCCTTATTTTGCTGCTTCACAATGAAAGTTTATACATAACAATAAAGGGGACTTTTATTGTGAGGAATCTATAGGAAATGAAATGTATTATTATTGTATTGGCAGAACTTTGTTAGCAGCTTCTCTTCAATAAAGGCGAGTCTAACAATGCTGCAGGGAGGAAAGTGAAAGAATGAACAGCCACGGTGAGATGTTGATGAAGAGCTGCAGACAACAGGCTCTTACTGCACCTCTGCAAGCAGCTCACCTCCAACAGGTAAACTTCTTTTACCTGTCCTGCTGTGGAAAAACACATGCAGCAAAAATAACAGGGGACTTAAGCCATGGAGCAGCCCGCCGCTTTTAAACGGCATCACACACTTAAAGACACACCCTCAAGAAGGTAGCCCTGTTGTAATGGAAATGCAAATCCCTGCTGTGCTGGGATGACGGCCCAAGCCAAGCCAAGCCAGTCTAGCCCCTGACTGTCAAAAAGCGGTATTGGTTATTTAAAGTTTTGCATGTTTTCTAAAGGGTCATACAGTAAAGGTTAACTGTCAAACTGTTACTTTATTGTCCTCTGTTAGTGAGAAAGGGATTGTAGCTGCACTGTCCCTTTGAAAGTGTATGGAACAGTTGTGATTATTACACTTTCACAACAGTGCAGAAGCTAGCTACTGTGAAAGTACACAATAAACATGAATAAATACTGAAGAGTAACACATAATGGCATTGCTTCACACTGACCACCAATAACATATAGAGATAAGACTTTAATTTGTGATAATAAAACTGGCATATCTATGACTGTGCAGCTCCCAAACTCCTCTAATATTTGCAAATAATGCAAATATAAACAAAACTTTAACAGCATTAAAATCTAACTTGCGTGCTCTAAAGACCTCTTTTAGTCGTTGAGGGGAGAAAAAAAACCTCTTTGGGTTTTGGCTTAGGTCCGCACAGATTGCTTGTTGTTCAAGGTTGCACA